CCGCAGCTCCCGTCGGCCGCGATGCTGGAGCACGCCGGCTCCTTGGGCGTGATGCCGATGCGCAGGTAGATGCGGCGCACCCAGGCTATCACGTCTTTCATGGCGGCTAGGTCGTACTCGGAGCCGACGGCGACTGTGGCACCGTTTTGTCAGTTCACTTGTGAGCATTTGTCAGGGGTGGGGGGGGTTTACAGTGGTTGAAGTTGATCTCCGGCGTGTCCTGCGGGTCGGCGGAGCGCAGCTTCACCCAGCCCTTGTTGTTGACTGACGATCCTTTTACCATGGACACGCCGTAGGGCTGGGCCGGGTCCGCGGGGAGCTTGGCGGTTTGGTTGTCGGGCCAGAAGCCGCGAAACAGGAACCCCTGCCCACCCATGAGGAACATATCCCTATCAGTCCCGTGCGCCGGATGGTTAGTGCGGATCATGGCCACGCCCGCGTCGCCGGACCCGGCAGAGCCGGAACCGACGATGGGCATCTCTTGGTTGTCATGCATGTTCTGACCTACGCCGGGCAGGTCCTTGACGACCGTGATGTTGAATTGCCGGAGGTGCTCGGCGGGGCCGACGCCCGACAGCATGAGGAGCTGCGGCGAGTTGAACGTCCCGCCAGAGATGATGACTTCGCGCTTGGCGGTCACGGTCTTCTTGACGCCTGTCGAGCCGGGCGCGCGGCGGTTGTCGGCCGAGTAGAGGGATTTGCCCTCTAGATACTCTACCCCCGTGGCGCGCGGGGTCGTCGAGCCGCATTTGGAGCTGGTGTCAAAGAGGATCTTTGTCGCTAGAGATGTCAGGGAGACGGTCAGCGGGACGGAGGTGTTCTTCTGCGCGGCCTGGATGTAGTCGCGCGAGCTGTACCGGTTGCCGTTGGTGAATTGGTGCTGGACCAGGCCGTAGATGCTGGAGGTCGTGTCTCGGTCTGGGGATAGGACGTTGGGGTCTCGCTGCAGGAGATCGGTCATGGGCATGGTCAGGTTGAGGTCCGTGGCGTAGGCGGCCATCACTTTATTCCCTTGGAGGCCGCCGCGCTGGGCTTGCGCTTTGGAGCCCATTGTTGTCTGGAAGAAGCCGTCGAAGCCGTGGCCGGCTGCAGCGGTGCTGCCTTTTGTGAGGTAATTGTTGTGTTCGATCTTGGCGAAGATTTGGCGCATGTTTTCGGCTCTGTGGATGTGTGAGCTTTGCCTTTTTTTTCTCTATGTGCTGGGGGACGGAATGCTTACTTCCAGGTTGCGTCTCCGGTCAGTTCATACACGTAGTTCCAGTCGCTGTCGCTTGGGAGCCAAGTGCACATTGCATTGATCATCGAACTGTCTCAAGTCAGAGCCAAGACAAGAAAAGGAGAACTGTCATGAGGCTAACCTTCCACCTAAAGTTGCTCCTCTCGGGTAGTAGACGCCCAGGAGTTTTGACCCGGCTGGGGCACCTGTCCGTCCGACCCAGTAGCGGCCTTCTGGGGTCTTCCACGTCAGGTGCGAATACTGGTTATTCCGAGGGTCGTTCTCCGGGTAATGGTTGACGAAGAAGTCCCAGGTCACAGTTGGAGTGTACACATGCCCGGACTGGTGTCTCCGGCTTCGATCAAGAACACGGAGTACCCGGCCTTGGCGAGGTTGGCGGCGAGAGTACCGCCACCGGGCCCGCTGCCGACGACCACATAGTCATACTCGGTGGCTCGAGATGCAGCAGGAGCGGCTAGGGCAGTATTCGTAGCAAGGAGCGCAAGGGCAAGCACCCTCGCGAGCGCACCTTTCTGGGTGTTTGGCTTCATATTGATAAGCCTACTAGAAGTTCCGTGTGCACCACACCGGCTCTAGCTGGGTGGCTGAGAATGAAGTAGATGCCTCAAGCTCATCTTTATGTTATTCTGTATGGCTGTGCTCCAGCCACCAGTGCTTAAATAGAGTACGTGCATAGTTGCAAGCTCCCGACCAAATCACCATGGACCCTCATTCGCACAGCAGCTCTCCCGACGGACAATAGATGCCCGCCACGCGTCTGCCAAGGACCCTAGACAAGGTTCCAACATATCGATATGAACCAGGTCTGTGGATGTTACCAACAAGAGATGGAAGCTTCCCCCGTGGTAGCCAAAATAGTGCATCAAAAGGGGATCGACACTATATCGTACCAGCCAACGAATGTGTCTCGGAGAGAATGCAGCCATCTCCACGAATAGACAGAGTGACTCGCTTGGGTGCCCAGCCGGATATAGACTTGAATGCTCTATTCTCCATGCGGTGGCGTTCGGCATATGAGGCTCGTGCCTGAAGGTCTAGATGCCAGCGGGTAAATCTCCTGGGACCGGTCGACAACTGCCCTCCCGGGTTCTTGGCATTAATTGATCTCCATTAACCTTAAATCCGCCGTGTCGAGATCGCTGGCGCTTCGATGCTAACTCATTTATCCTAGACTGATCCCAATTCGCGCCAGGTGTGGTGATCATGGGGAACGGAATCAATGAGGAGGACTGTCTTGCTTCATTAGCAATGGTCACGATATTCGACAAAGATTGAGACATCCCCCTCGGCACAGCGCTATTGCCAGGAACAAGCGTGGCAACTGACATGCATTCAGGGGGTCGAGATTGATACGGCGTTGGTGCGAATTGGCCAATCATTCGACACCATGTCAGTTGTAGTATCCGCGGAAAGTCTTGGAACAACAATACGACGTTGTCGGCTGCGCCTCGCTCATTTCCCAGGACTGCCTTCAAGTCAAATATTGAGTGAGATCCCACCGTCCACGGTTCACCACTCGGTGCTTCAGCGGTTCGCGTCAATAAAAAATGCGATGGCGGATTCTCCAGCTGCAGTGCACCTCGAACCAAGAGAAAGGGGCGCCCTGGACGGCACCATGCCGTTCCGGACAGTCTACCTGGCATTCAGAGCCGTGACTCTGGGTCTGGAGGTTGCGACGCTCGGATACTTGATATGGATGTCGGTGAACTATAGTAACCGGACTGGACACTATGCATGCGGTATTGTAGCGGTACGTCGAGTCGGGTTGTCGGAAGCATGCTGAAGTTCGTCCACTTGGAACCGGCTGACTCGCAACATAGACTGTCCTAGCCCTGACACTCGACGCCCTCGCGATCGGGGTACTGGCCTATAAGACGGATCTGAGTGGATGCTCGGGTGCGTGCTTCAACTGTGGAGATGTCGTCGTCCTCGTCGTCAGCATCGTCGGATGGCTGTTGATCCTGCTCGCCGACTTCAACTTGGAGAGGTCGCCACCCCGAATGCCCTGGAATGACTACGAGGATGTTGGCGCCTTTATGGTGATGGGCATGTGGTATGCACCCCCAGACAGCGCGTGTTGCCGATTTGGAACGCCGCTGCAAGCCAGTGCTGCCGTGCCTGAGAGCTAACAATGAGTGTTCCGCGTAGGATTGCCCATTTTGTACTATCGATCCTCAACTGTACAGGATGCTGCGTGTCCTGCGGTAGAGCAAGAAGAGCCAAGCGACGAACTCAGCGAATCGTGTATTTGGTTCCGGTCCTGCAGCCTCCAGTACCGAACCTATGAGTCTCAACGTGGTGGTGCTCGAAGATCACAGCGGTAGGCTTCGACAACGCGTGTTGCTGGAGCAGAACAAGAGCCCGACTGCTTCAAGATGAGGCACATACAACGGGCCCGGAAGACCAGTGTCAAGGCCTGGGCCGCAGATTAATGATAATAGTGATCACGACCATCTCAAATACAGGCACGAGGAAACGTTTGTCGGGCTTAATGGTCGTGTGTTTTTGGCGGTGATGGGTTGGAGTTACCCCGCTAACAGTCGATGCTAAAATTGGACACAGCACTGCCACGCGCCAAACACAGCCCGCCAATCTCACCCGGCTCACCGCGCTTGACCATCGACAATGTCTTCTACCCGGCGTTTAATCATCGACTTGACGGGGCCAACAACATCCGGAAGGCTGATGCTGCCATGTTAGCCCTTTTCTATAGTGATTTAGTAGCAACACAAGCGTAGAATGTCACCGAGTTGGCTCACCTTGCTGACCGCCAGCCCTCAGGCTGAGCCTGGAACTCCAGACATCCGGACAGAAGTGCCAACACAGGAAAGAGACCAACATTATCACCGTGGTTGAAGTCTGTCATGGCATCCGTAGGTATATATGTTGACGATGGTGTCCGCCAAACATGGTTGCAGACTATCATCGCCATCCTGCACAACAGCCCAATAACCTAGCATCAGCACTACCCTCATACATACCTGCAACATCACCTCACCCCAATCACCATGTTCTTCCAGTCCCTAGTCATTGCGGCGGCGGCTCTCTCCGCCGTGTCTGCCCTCCCAGCTCCGGCAAACCATGTCACTACTTCCTACGGCCTACCAGAGCCGACCGCGGTTAACCAAGCAAAGGTGGCAGCCTCGCATTCGACCACCTTAACCTACACCTCTCCACCATCCAAGACAGTCAGTCTCACTGGCGTCACCCACACCGTAGCTGTAGGCCGTGGCGGTCTCAAGTTCGACCCGGACAACGTGGTAGCCGAGATCGGCGACGTCGTCGAGTGGCACTACCTGCCAGCAAACCACTCCGTCGCCCAGTCCTCCTTCGACAAGCCATGCCGTCCTCTCAACGAGTACGCCTTCAACTCCGACTTCTTCCCCACGAAGGAGGGCCAGAACCCGGAGGTGTTCCAGATCGTCGTCGAGGACAAGACTCCCATCTGGTACTACTGCGCCCAGACCAAGGGCAACCACTGTCAGAGCGGCATGGTCGGCGTCGTCAACCAAAAGTTCGACACGCCCTTCACGCTGGCGGCGCACAGGGAGCTCGCTGCGAAGACGAATGTGTCGACGACGCTGCCCCATGTTCAGGGCGGATATCGCATTCCCAACCCTAACCCCTTGAGCGGTCTGTAAGATGCGCACTGCCTGCACAGCTTTCTTTATTTTTTTTCTGCATAGCGACGGATATCGGATATACGCATAGACCTTGGAGTTCAGCATTTGCACATGAGAAAAGGGCAAAAAGAAAGTTGAGCTGGAGACACGGGAATTCGAATCCCGGACCTTCTCTAGTAACATCTGGTGATGCGAAAGAGAAATCATACCCCTAGACCATATCCCCGCTTGTTGGATGCACTTTTGGCCGTTATTGCGCATTTTGTGGGTATACCCCACATCACCCTTCGATGGAGAGTGCACCTTAGAAAAAGCTTGAATGGTGGAGATTTGCATACAGTTGGCGGCATCATTTTATTTCATTCTACTTTCACTGTACATAAGCTCTCTAGAGAGGTCAACATCAAGCTCATTGATCTACTCTTTTCCTACGATTTTTCAGTGTGACTTGCGCCAGTGACTGTTGTAGACACGAACTGCTGTTTCCATGCTCTTCGTCAGCCATAGGTTCGTACTAACGCAATCGCCTCCACCTCCACCTCGCGTCTTCTCTCAATTGAGCGCAAATCATCATCTCTTCTGCTTCCCGAGTTCTCTTCACGGGCCGATGGCAGCAGCGAACATGATCCTCCCGAGCGGGCCGTTGAGGTAGGTGCCTTAATGTTGGTGGCGCTGGGCTGATGCGACGCGATCCCGAGGGGGGCCAGAGCTGGACGCGACGAGAATTTCAAACATCACTTCAGTCCTTACCTCTTCGCAACGACCCAACACCTGGAACCTCAGATACAATCGCATCAGCTCCAAGCCTGCAGCTTTGTGTCGCGTCAGATACAATCCACTGCCTTCCATGACCGCGTTACGATACGCACGTAGGTCCTTTCCCCTGAACACACCACACTAACTACAATCTCACAGTACCTCGCAGCGGACGGTGATTGCCCGTATTTGCGACTTTCTAGCAGTTTGCTCAATTGACAGACATGAGCGCGGCCCTGGTCAAGTTTGTCGGGAAACACAATGGCTGCACATGTCGTGGCACACCTCTGTTGCAACATTGAACCGTCCAATCGTCGCGGCTTTGCCAACCAAGACGCATCCGCCAACGCAAGCAGCCGGCCTGGAGTCCCCGCACGCTGAGGCTATCGTCAACGAGTCCGTCCCAATGGTCCCGGACTCAGGCACTGGCAGGATTGGCAAGGACTACTGCATGCATCTATTTTCGATTTTCTGACCACCACCTTATCGTCCAACCCACGCAACTGGGCCAGAGTGGATTCCGTCGACGAGGCTCGTTGCATCTCAGCAGAGCATTGAGCCGTGCTTGCACACCGCTCGAGTCTTCGCAGCTTCTATACCGGAAAAGGTCGCCATGGCATACGAACTGATGTATCGTTCCCGGGCTTGGTCCGAACCAACTGCATTCGAGTCGAGTTTGCTCCATGAGCCCTCGGCACTCAGCCAACATCGACCGCTGCAACGCCTGGGTGGCGGCGCATGTATGTTTGCTGCGCCTTATTTGCTGAAGACAGCAATACTGAGGAAGCGTGTGTGGACGACTTTACATCGCATAGCCGAGTCCTAGACATACATGTGGCTAGATGGCAGGTGTCTCACGCTCTGCCAGCTCTTGGTCCAACTTCGACACCTCGCGAATCAATCTGGTCAGATATTGATCAAGGTCTGAATGCTGTGAACCTTCCCATCCGCATCTTGACCCAATCACCGTCGCAACCTCGCCATGCTCTCGTCGCACAGCACGATTGCCCGATATCCCCGTCCAAGCTCCTCACAGGAAAACTGCCACATCATGAGACTCATGAGACTTTCTGAGAGCCGTGTCAGTTGCAGCTCGTCGTCGCGCCCCATCGACATCATGCTGCTAGTAGCCGAGTTCCATGTCGAGCATTGGGGCGAGTCGTTTCCAGGACTGTCTGTCGAATATTGGCTCTTGCGGTGTCTGCCGGTCTCTGATAGCTTCTGCTACAGGCAAGCTTGGAACTGCTGGTCTTCTCCCCTGCATCCCAATAGTCGATGCATGTCCCCCCCGATGACATTCAGCCCCTGCTTCATATCGGAATCGCGAGCAACTCGGACGGCTTCCTTACGGAGCTGAAGGTCCTTTGTCTGCCCCTTTCATCTTAGAGAGTGGTGGCTGCCGTTTAGATGTCTCGTGTTGACCAGTATCCTTTGCCAGACAAGTGTTGGTCCTTCCACACGATCCAACACCACTATGTCCGGAAAGAGCAGTATCCAGCAGCTGTGCTTCCCCGTTGGTGTCTTTGACGGCCGCCTACCCCAACATAGGACATGCTTTGCCTGTGCCTTGCTAGGATTATAGACATAGTCCATCTTAAATCAGGCGATCGGACAGCCCCAGTTGAGATCATCGGATGTTGAGCATAAATCTCGGGTCTGTCTTGAAACCAGAAAGAAGTGCTATGCCGAGTCGTCATGATCGAGTAGCCGTTAGGCAGTCTCCCCTGAGCGAGCTGCAAAGCAGGTACGTCGAGTCCGGAAAGATGCCCTTTGTCTGTTGGCTGCCGGTATAAGTCAGGGCATCTCGAGGTACAATGACTCAGCACGTAACCCTTTCACTGGCCGTCAACCCCAAGTTAGTTCTTGTCTCTCCTACGTTGTTCCTGCAGCGCGTCGACGACGCCACCACGAGGCACGAGCCGCCACCACACCTCAACAACGGCCCCGTGGTCTCTGTCTAAGTTTGGCCCTCCACATCATTGATCCAATCCCTTTGACAACCCCACGCCATCGCAAAGCCGCGCATCTACACCATTGGCTTAGGCGTTTTGACAGATCCCTTCACCATTTCAGACCCCTCTTATTTCGCCTGTCCCCTCCCCTCCTGTTTGCTTAGTCGACATGGACGACGATGCTACCGATCTTCCATACGACACCCCTTCCTCCAGCAACAACGACTTCATGAACCTCACGGTCGAACAGCGCAGAGCCCTTCAGACTGTCGAGAGGGTCGGCGCCTCTCTAAGCCTTGTCGGGGTCTGCCTGATATTCATTACCTTTGCAGCCTTCAAGCGTCTACGTACCGTGCCCAACACCTTTATCCTGTTCGCCTCCATCGCCAACGTGGGCGCCAGCACAGCATGTCTCATCGGTTACGATGGGTTGAACGCTGGATATGACTCTGCACTCTGTCAGGTTCAGGGGTTTCTCCTGGAAATGTTTGTAGCTCTCCCAACCACCCGTGGAGTCGTTTTCTATATGCCTTGGATACATACATGGACATTACTATCACAAAGCTCCGAGTTAACAGGCAATTTGCATTTTACAGGTTCATGCAGTCAGATCCCTGGTGGTCGCTTGCCATGGCTATCAATGTCTACATGGTATTCTTTCTTGCTGCCAACCCGACCTCCTTCCGACAGTATCTTTGGATCTACTGTCTGGTCTGCTACGGGGCTCCGGCCCTCCCAGCAATCATCTTGCTGCTGGTCCGGGGCGATCCCCGCGGGCCGGTATACGGCAACGCGACAGTAAGTCTTTGTCCCAAGAGACAGGATGGCAGCATCATCCTGCAGCAACTCACATGCGCCCGCGTTCTGACAGCGGAGCTAAAAGTTGTGGTGCTGGATCGGCGACAAGTGGAACTCGCTACGCATATTCACCTACTACATCCCAATCTGGGTGTGCATCCTGCTGTCCACCATCATCTACTTCGCCGTGGGCTACCAGGTGTTCCACCAGCGCAACCAGCTGCGTAACTTGACGCTCAGCAACCCAGCCAAGGACACGTCGAGTTCTGACGTCAGGGAGTCAGGTGAGAGGGTAAGTCGGCATCTCTTCATGTATCTCGAGTTCTCTGGCTCTGCACGACAATGCTCTTGCCGACGGCGGGAGCCCAGTGTGCATCTGCACGTCAAACGTTCCACCGTCCCTCTCCCACCTCACCGATGCACCCGTCCCAGTGCACCACAGTCTCCTTGACTCGCGGCACATATCTAACTGTGGCATCTCCCCCTCGTCCCCAGACAACCTACAACGGCCAACCAGGTTGCTACGGCATGGTGACTACCGAAGTTCGAGTCACTGCCGAGCCGTCCATCTCAGAAGGCCACATCACCCCGCCGACAACGCCAACCCCGTCCATCGCACCGGTCCTCCCGTGCAAGCCAGCGACGCACCACGGCCACCACCCCTGGGCATCCCCCTCCGCCGACGACCACCCCGACTTCTTCGACGACCTCGACCTCGAAAACGACACCCACCCCACCCGCTCCCTCTCCCAACGCGCCCGAAAACCCACCACCGCCAGCAGCACCTCCGGCCCCATAGCCCCCTACACCACCATAACAACAAACTACACCCCCCCAACCACCACCCGCCGCCACCACCCCTCCCCCAAAACCAAACGCGCCGGCCCCTCCTCCCGCCGGCGCCCCTGGCCCACCCGCCTGGCCTCCGGCACGCGCCACTTCCTCACCAAGCTCAGCAACCTCGACCCGGTGAAGCTAGCCTACCTGCGCACCTCGTTCGTCTTCGCGATCAGCATCCTCATCACCTGGGCGCCCTCGAGCATCAACCGCGTCTACACGCTCATCTACCCGTCCCGCTTCAACTTCGGGCTCAACATGGCCAGCGCCGTGGTGCTGCCGCTGCAGGGCGTGTGGAACGCCGTCATCTACTGCGCCACGAGCTGGTACGTGCTCGTGGGCGAGGTGGCGGAGCTTAGGGGCCGGTTGTGGGCGGGGGGCGGGAGGAGGGGGCAGGGGGGGGGGATGGGTGTGGGTGTGGGTGTGGCGTTTGATGGGGTGGATGGTGGGCGGAGGAGGGGGAGGGGGACGAGGGAACGCGGGTTTGAACTGAGTCCTACGCCTAGGGTTAGTACCATGCGGGTTGTCCGGGGGAGTTTTTGATGGGGTGGGGTCTGGGTTTCTGTTGTGAGTGGTTTATGTTCTTGGGGTTGATGGAGTTTGGTATATAAAGTGTTGGATAATGGGCGATGATTTATGCTCTTGGGAGGGGTCTTAGGACGCCAAGGGGCTTTGGATTCTATGATACCATTATGCTTGGATATGCTTGGATAGGATAGGTGTATCGCGTCTGCGGCTGGCGTCAAGTCGGCTGCCATCAGATGATTAAATGTTACGACGCCGGTCATCTGCGCTTTCGAATGCAGCTGTCGTCCTATATATAAATCTTGAGTTTCGTAACCCCCTAAAGCTAGTGCTTGAAGATCCTCATCCCTATCTACAA